TCCCTACTCTACCTCACAACAACCCTATAAGGTAGGCTGGGTGAAAGTGATTTAACTGGCTAAAGGCCTAACCACTGCCTGTCAGGGGCAAGAGCAGGGATTTGAACCCACAGTAGTCTGGAGAATTTAACCTGTTCCCCTCTGGGAGTTCATGCCTCCCCTGCTGTACCTCACAATAACCCTGTGAGGTAGGCTGGGTAAAAGTGATTTAACTGGCTAAAGGCCTATCCACTGCCTATCAGGGGCAAGAGCAGGGATTTGAACCCACAGTAGTCTGGAGAATTTAACCCGTTCCCCTCTGGGAGTTCATGCGTCCCCTGCTCTACCTCACAACAACAACCCTGTGAGGTAGGCTGGGTGGAGGTGATTTAATTGGCCAAGAGCCAACCACTGACTGTCGAGGCTAGAGCGGGGATTTGAACCCAGAGTAGCCTGGAGAGCAAGGCACTTGAACCCAGAGCCGTCTGCAGATATTAACCAGTTCCTCTCTGGGAATTCATGCATTTCCCCGTTTTAATTCACAACAACCCTGTAAGGTAGACCGGGAAATGACTAGCCCTATGGTCAATCCATTGAATTTCAGGGTCCAACTGGGGACTCGAACCCCCAAACGCCTCCCGACTCCCAGTCCGCCTCCCTCCCCGCTACGCCAACAGAAGCAGCCCTATCTCCCCTCTCCCCCTCCGCCCTCTTACCTGCCTAGCGGCGATGCCCGAACTGGCGTTTCCAACCCCTCTACTGCCCCGCCCTCCTTCTCCTCCTCCGCCGCTGCCGAGCCCCGCCCCCTCGCCCCCGCCATTGGCCCCGGCAGCCTACAGGGTCCCCAGCCGCGCCCACCAACAAATAACACTTCGCCCCTCCCCTTTCCCCAGCCACGCCCCTCTTCCCGACGCCTGACAGCCCCTCCTCGCGTCCCTTTTATTATCCGCGCACGCCTTCCCCGGCCGCCGCCGCCGCCGCCGCCGCCGCCATTGGCTCGGGCGGCGTTCTATCCCCGCCTCCTCCCTCTCTCCCCCCTACCCACCCGTCCGCCGCCCCTTTCGACTCCTTTTGGTTCCTGTGTCAATCAGGCCGGAGGGGGGGGGGAGAGGGAAAAAAACCCACCAACGAGAGGCGGCTTCCTAAACCCTCCCCGGCCCCCCCCCCCCCCCCCCGCCCCCCTTTTTTACCCCCCCCCCCCCCCCCCCCCGCGCC